TATGGAGTTGATGTTGATAGCAGAGTGGCATTGAGTAGGCAGGTGCAAAAAAAGCAGTAGGCCCCAGTGCATCTCTTATTGTATTGCCAAGTTCTCCTCACTCCTCTGTGCTCTGTTCTTGTGTCTCTGTTCATTTGCTTCACCATCTTCACATGGGCTCAATGCTTTGTATTGATGATTGATACGGGGAACAGCCACTGGCTTACTGATTTTTTTGGGGGGGGGGCTTAGTTCTGCCCCCGTCCCCTTGCTTTGTCCTTTTCAGCATGTTAACGTTCTGTCTACAATGCTGGTGTAGGCAGACATCACAGTGTAACCACATTTCCTTGAGCACCCTGGGGAAGCTGGCACAGCTTCTGGCCTCCCAGCCTTGCCCTTGTGCCAACACATGGCTGCATCCACTGCTGCCATTAGCGTGCCTCTGGCAAGATGGATTGGGAGACTTAATGCTGCTTTCTTAGCTTGTTTCACAACAGATTACAGCATTTATTTGAGTATTTGCTTAATGGTTCAGTGTATGATTGTTGCCATATGCTGATGAATGGTTGTGGATTTTAGGAGGGGACAGGGCAAGATGATTGGACTTAATGCAGTGGCAACGCTGGCATGATCTGTGAAATGTGAGCGTGGCCTCAGTCCTCTCAGTAAAGCCAGTGCTGCTTGATGTTCATAGGTTTGCAGGCTTGGATTCAGAGACGTGTGTTCCCGTTGTTCCAGTTCTAGATTGACATCTGATCTTTGAGGATTTCCTTGCATATCCAGGTACAATTAATAAATCATGGCTGTTTTCACAAGAATTAATCAGTAGTCTGAGTATCACTGCTGTTGCGTTTGGAAGGTAAAAGTGAAATTGGTAGGTGTGGAAACGCTTTTGAAATGGCAGCAGCCTCTTGAACAACATGTTTTCCTCATGAAATCTCTAAACAATGTTATAATTTCTACCCAAGCAACTGTGCTCTGTTTAATTTTCAGAAATTGGTTTTGTTGTGAGTGGGTGATGACTGTCAGCTGAGATGACATGACTTGCTTTGTAAGAAATACAGTAGAGAAAGTTACTAATCAGTGCTGCCTACATGCTACTATGGGCTTCCAAGTGATTTGTAGTACTAACTCTAGTTGCATAGCCTGTGATGTGAATTGCGTGAAGTACTGACAAAGCAGATCTTTGGGCTGATATCAGATGCTTCCTATGTTAGGAAACAAGGCTGCTGTTAGTGTAAACATGAGGAAGGTGGCTGTGCAGCTTTGAGTGGGCTGCCTGCTCTGTTTGTTTGTAGGATCGTGGGGAAAAAACAGCCAAATATATCTACGCTTCAGATTAAGTATGTCAGAATGTGAATCCAGCTTCGGTACTGACTGTACTGCTCCACGTGGCACTTGGTGGTCTGTTGAGAGGAACCAAAAGGATGGCAGTGGGGATAAACAAAGGCAGTAGTCAAATATGCTCTGTATAGACAGGAATTTCAGAAGGTAGCGTTTGTCTCAGCAGCCCTGTGCTGTTGCAGGACAGCTGCTTGCAATGAAGAACCGGTGCTGGTAGTACTGCCCTCCTGCCATTTGCAAGCTGTAAAACACTTCACTTTTTCATTCTGCAGCAGTCCTGTGGAAATATTGGCTGGGTCATCCTGCCAGTTGTATGGGGAAGTGAGGAGAAATTTTTGGTTAAGCTGTTGGTTAAAATGATGACTTATGATGACTTACCATGCTTATCAGTAAGGACACTTCTGATGCTGTTGTTAGAACTACTTTCTTTGAAGTTGAAATTTGAATAATTGCTGAGCCTTTGAATGCCTGATGTCAGAAAGGGCAACCCAACAAAAAGCAGGACTTCAGACTCTGTGTTTTGATTCCTGGAATTGTTTGCTTTCCTTTCTGCCTCAGATTGTATTTTTGAGGTCTGTCTAGCAAATCCCAGCTTTCATGATGTGTGTGAGACACTTTGGTAGCTGAATGCCACCTGCAGCCACCTCTTGTAATTGCAAAAGCAACATATTTTAATTGTACTACATGCAGCTTGAAGTTGCAGATTCTGTCTCTTGCAAGATTCTCATTTTCATAGGGGAGGGAAGACAAACAGCAGTGGAGGCCTTGGTATGCCTGTGACAGATCAACTTGTTTGTTCTGGCAGTTGTTGTCTTGCTGTAGTCCAGCCATGCATGGTGCAGCATATTGAGATACTGACTGCTGTTTCCTAGGTTCTTTTCCCTCCCTTCCCCAGACCCAGCACGCTTGCTGACTTGGACAGCTGCATGAACCTTGGTTGTTGAAATGTAAATTGCCACTTGGAGCTAGAGACTTAGCTGTATGCACTTTAAATGAGTTCAAGCTGGGAAAATGAAACGTTTGTTCCTTCTTTAGCTGCAGGTTTAGAATAGCATGTCAGTAAATTGGTATTCAGACCTATTTACTTCACTTTGTTTGTAACTGTAAGATTCCTAAATGTGGTCTGTAAAACTGGGTGGGTTGAAAATGTCAGTTAGTAAAGCTGAAGCAGGGCATGAGGAAGCAGAACTGTCTGCGTCTTGGGAGCACATATTGCAAAACTCAGCTTACATGAATGCATGGATTACTTCTAAAGAAGTGGTTGCCAGTGGCTGCCCATACTGCAGTGAAGTACAGCTTCCATTGTTAAAATGGAAAGGTTGTGCATACTTGGTGTGACCTGGTGTTGGTGTGAGCATTGAAACTAGTTATAAGGTGAACTTCAGAAGGCACAACTTGTGTTCAGTATTTGGTTAAAACTAAATGAGGTTAAAGTTCTGTGCCGTGGAAATACCCAGCTCAGGTGTTAGTGATGAATTTCCAGACTCTAGCATGATAAATTTTGCTGTTTTTCTTTCTATAAGAATGCACAACAGCTCCTTTAATCTTTCTGCTGAGTCTGTTGTTTCCCCGAAACCAGTTCATGGTGTGCAGTCAGTGTCTCTTCAGGAGCTGCTGAAGGGAGAAATGTTTCCATTTTGACTTAAATTCACTCCATTTCTTGTGCAATTTTCTCAGTTTCTCCTAGTAGCTTTCAAGCAAGCTTTCTGGTTAATAGGCTTCATCAAGTAGTCCTTTACGTAATGGTATCAGAACATGGTGATAACAAAACGCCCTTCCTCTTCTGTGTTTGTGCCTCTGATATCTTACTTAGTGTAGCAAAACTGATAGCAGACTTTTGAAGGTGTGGCTGTTAACTGTCCTGAAGAATTTTTGGAGTCTCTGGGTGTGATAGCATGTGGAACATAGGCATGTTTCCTTGCATCCTCCACCATTGATATGATGAGAGGGCTGACTGATGCTGCGCATACAGCATTGATTTAGGGAAGAGGTAGGAATTGGGATTCAGTGGTATCAGTTTGATCTTACGGAAAGGTGAAAGATACTGATACAGAAGCTCTATGGCTTTCTCAAGACAGAACTATTGTCATAAACACAGAATTTAAGTCTGTGGATATCTCATACCTGAAATGTGGCACATGCTGGCTGTGTGTGCTCTCATTCTGTCTGGTGAGCTCGTTGGATGCACTGTCCTCACCGACCAGCACTGTGGCACCTCTGCTCAGTGCAGCTCTGGTAGCAGTGTACATCATCTGCTTTTTTTGACCAATGGCATTTAGCATAAAATCGTTACTAAATGTCACCAAGGTCTGATAATTCCTTTTTTTTTGTACGTGCCATTCATATTAGCTTGGAAGCAATGGAAATTTTAAGTATTTAAATAATACTTGGTGCACCAAGTCATATGGCTTTCCTATGTTTTTCCATCCTTTACTAAAACTATGGAGTATTCTATTATGTAAGTGTTCTCTTTGGATTTTCTGCACTGTTTCTGCATTTCTGTGAACTATCTGCATTTGGTTAGGCTGCAAATCAGTTTGCTCATTGGAACTGGTGAGGGCGTGCATGCGTGTGGACCTTGGAGGGGCCCAGTCTGCTCAGAGGGAGCCAAGCTGGCACAGGGATACCTCTAGAAGGAAAACTGAAACCTACTTGAGATTTCTGTCTGAAATCTCTTGGGTTGAGAATGTCTGTCTGTAGTTCTGTCCTTTCTTTTTTCAGTGGAGTTTTTATACACTCAACTGCAGATTGCCATCTAAATGAAGTATATTTCCCTTCTCATAGCTATAGCTAACCTGTGAATGCCAACATCGTCCTTGAAATCTGTTTCTTAGGAGGTGTTGGGAAAATTCCCTAATTGCTTCTCTTGCAAGCACTTCCCAAACATCTTATTGGAAGAAAACAGTGCGTGGAGGACTGAAATCTGAAGCTGCTGCTTGCTGTCTGTCGTAGGCAGTACTTGCTATGTAGTCTATGCAGCTATGCCTCTGAAACTTGGGTGGGTGGCTACATGCTTTGTCTTGACAGCTTTAGCTTTCACATTATGCCCTACGTTTTTCTGTACGTGGCCTGTCTGCAGAGGTGGGTTACTTACAGTGCTCTGAAAAGCCTCAGTTCTCTGAAGTGTTTGCTACTCAACCTTATCTCTCCAGTGTATGTTAGGAAGCATGAAAGCAGAACTCTGGAGCACATGTTGCTTTTACTCTTAAAAATAAATCCTCTTACAGTGTGCTATTTTGGTAAAGAAACATTAAAGTACTGAGAAGTCTGAGTGCCTGTTGCATTTAGCTGTATAGGCACTTGGAACATCGTGCTTTCTGGGGTGTTGGTGTGTGTTTAGATTTCTGCACAAGTCCACGTAGCTGTCCATGTCAGTGTAAGGGCTTTGAGAGAGTGACAAGGTTGATGAATGTGAAGCTGCTGATGCAGATATTAGGCTGGTTGTTTAGCCAGTTTCCTTTTTGGATGCTTCTTCCTGTTGCCACATTAGCGTGCTTAAAAAGATAAGGTTATTAAGCAACAAATAATCAGAAGGTTTGAAGGAAGCACAAGTTTCTAAGTTTCTAAACAGTGTATGGTACAGGTTGCCATAGTTTGTTCTTAACAGAGTAGAAGAGCAGGAAGCAGAATCTTTTATTCTTAACTATCTTTCACTGTTTATTTCTTCTTCTCTGCAGACGCCGTGTGATAGAAGATGCACTATTACCGATATTCTAATGCAGAAGTCAGCTGTTGGTACAAATATCTGCTCTTCAGCTACAACATTGTCTTCTGGGTAAGTACAGAGTGTAGAAATAGGAATAGTTTGGGAGCACTTCATTTTATTGAACTTCCTCCTCATTTGTTTGAGAGTGGACTGCCATCATTAATAGAAACCAGGAATATGATCTGTAGTGTATGTCCTGTAAGTGCATCCCATAAACAGGATTAATTACTCTAGAAAAAGATTTAGATACTAGCTCCACATCTTTCTCTTCCTTGCCCCTTCCTCCTATCCTACCTTGTGAGTGAAGGTAAATGAGTGAAACAGATAATTTATTTTTTCAGCGCAAAAGGGAAAGAGCTGCTTTAAGGTTTTGTTGAAAGAAAATAGTTTCAGCTGTTGGTGATGACATCTTTGAATGATGGAGAGCACTAAACTCTGGTTGTGTGAGGGGAAATGTTAGATTTGCCTTTAAGTGCACTGGACTGGTGTGTTAGGCTGCTTCTCTTTTAAATTAAGTGTCTACACATATATCCTTTCAGATAGTCTTTGATCTTAGTGTTAGAGCAGTGCTGCAATATGTGCAGCATATTGAAGATTTGCCCTGTCCCTGGAGGTGTTCAAGGCCAGGTTGGATGGGGCCCTGGGCAGCCTGGTCTGGTATTAAATGTGGAGGTTGGTGCCCCTGCGTGTGGCAGAGGGGTTGGAGATTCCTGATCCTTGAGGTCCCTTCCAAACCTGGCCATCCTGTGATTCTGTGATAATTGGAGCACGAATGTTTCAACAGCTGGTGTTACACTATAGTTTTGGTAAGAATTACAGTGTAGTCAAGGTCTTGAAGGCTTTGCTCCAAGGGCAACAAAATTGCCTATGAATGTCTTGAAATAGTTAGGGACTTCAAAGTAGGCATATGTTTACTTGCCTTAATTTGAAGAGAGTGCAATGTCAGGTGTGGATTCAAATGATTATGTTGATCAAGATGACTGAAGTATCTAAACTACCTCTGGAAAGATGGTTATTCAAAGATGAATGCATAGCATTGCATTGGAAATAATTAATATGGAGGTGAAGGCAAAGGTACTGATCATTTGAAGCTGAAAATTCTTCCCAGAACTTACAGGTCAAAAAGAGGAGTACACATTCATGGAAAGGTGTAGGTAGTTATGATGAAGAGCAGATGCATTAACTTGATGGTGCAACGCTAGAATCTTGGGTTTATGTTGTGATTCAGAGTTGAAATGCATGCATGGTATGGGTGGCTTCTTTGAAATAGTTCAGGGTTGTTTTTTTTTTTTCTTTCCAAAGTCAGAAGGGTTAGATAGTAATAATGAAAGAGTAGCATGTTGTTGAAACAGCTTGTGCAAGTTGAAAGTACAAGTTGATTTTCTTGATCCTGACTGTCAGACTGTGAAGACTGTGTTCTTTTTGTTCATTGTTGCTATTCATTAAACCACCTCATCTTCTTAGACTGTAAAGTTTAAGGTCCAGGTAATTATAACCTAAATTTGTATTCAGCCGAAATAAATATAAGTCTGATCATTATCTGCAAACTGCAGGATCTTGTTGGTGCTTGTGAATAATGACTTGGTATTTTGCTTGATTAACTCACATAAAGTTCTGATAAACTGGATTAGCATTCCTATGTCTTTTGGCCGCTTTTGCAGTGTACAGGATAGAGAATAATCTCTTTGGAAAATGCATGAGTGATGGGCAAAATTAAGTTTAGAGAGAATGATAGAAAAATGTAGTTTTGAGGGATCTTATGGAAAAGGGATCTTATGGAAATTATCTGGCTTAATCTTCTGTTCAAAGCAAGATGCTTTGTGTAGTGGACCACTGCTCAAAGAGGAGAGCTAGGAGGCTTGTGAGCTGCTTTTCTGCTGTCCTCAGCCAGCCTGAAATTGTTATAGAGCTCAGGAAAACAGAGACAGAAATGTCTGGATGTTGTTAAATACTACAGAGTTGTTTGCTGCTGTCACTACCTCCTGCTTACTAGTGCACTGTTTTAGCCTGATTCTGTAGCTTTAAGCAGTAGGGACTTGTGTGTCTAACAGGGCAGAAAGAGGGTGTACGTTTGTGCAGATGTGTTTTTCCAGGGGAGGTTAATTGGCCACAATATTGCTGTACAACCTGAGTATGTTGAACATCAGTGGTATTTTCTCCCTCCCCTAGCATTTATGAGTTGCCATTTAAAATGGTTACCGTTGCCATGCATCATAACTCAGGTCCTTGGGTGCCTCTGTACTTGTTTTTTCCTCTTCTCTGTAGTACAGCTCCTATGATCGTGTAATGGGATGTAGTGTGGTAAGGAGTTGTATTTAACTGTATTCTTCATAGCCCAGATTTTCAGGGAAAGCATTACTGAGTGGACGCTCCAAAGCAGATAGCATGGGGTGTGTGTGTGAGAAATGAACAGAATTTCTTCTTTTTGTTACTCGTGAGGGTTAGGTGCTAGATGTCTTCCTTTCTAGTGAATGCCTCACAAAGTACTGCTTGTTAGGTAAGCAGCTTATGCAAAACAGTTTTGTATCTTGGGAAGACTATTAATAACTTGGTTTCTGCTTTTTCATGATAATTCGTTTTTTCCCCTCTATTTTCTTTTAATTCCTTGAATAGTTATTACTTCTCATGTAACCACATATCTTCATTATAATCTTTTGAAGTTATTGATAAAGGTCCAAATTTTTTTCTTTTCCATTAGACTTTTGGAAATATTGATGTAAACTTGAAATACAACTTTGTAGGTTTCGGTTGAGTTTCTTGACTGAGAGCTGGTTTTCTGATTAAGTATTAATAGTCATGGTAGCTCACTCAGTAAATGGTCTGAGGCTTCTGCTGAGAAGTTACCATGTCGATGTGGTATAATTACAACTCTTTTGGTAAAACAGCTTTGGTTGTAGAACAGGATATGTAAAAAAGTTGAGTAGGAGGGTAGGTGCTCCTGTAAGCAAATGAGTGACTTTTAGCTGGCATAGTGGTTCCAAAGTCTGTGATATATCAAGCTGGTTGAAATGGCTAGTGTAATATTTCTTCAATTGAACAAATCAGTGCTGTGTATAACAAAGTAAAAAAAGATAGATTCCTTGGAAACTGAGGGTGCTATAAAACCAGAAGGGAGAGGTAATTTTGTCTTCAAAAATCAGCATTTAAGGAGGCATTGGTATTCTGATTTACATTCCCTAGTTGCAGGACAAATCTGCTTGCTGGAATCAGAGATGTGAATACTCCAACAGCAGGGCTGTTAAGTGATGTGTAAGCAGCACTGCTTACATGCATGAGGTGCAGAGCTGTGCCCAGAAGCCCTGCTGAATCCATTGAGCTGTGACTGAAAGAGATGGTTCTGCTGCTTCTCCTCTGCCAGACAGTTAATGCCTTCTTTCAGGTCTCTCACAACTGTCTGTGCAAGAAAATGAGTTTGGAAATCGATCTCAGCTAAATGTAGCTCTTTGCAACCTTCCCCTCCCCCCCCCCCCCCAGTGTATTATTTTTAAATTCTTTCAGTTCCCTGTGAGATTTCTTCAGAATGAGGGTTGCTACTGTAGCGGGTACGAGGGATGGCACCTCAGCTATGTGACTGACTTTGGCCAATTTTAGCTCTTCCTGGAGTATGAAGATAGCTCACCTGTGTCTCAAACCATGGCAGTTTATTCATGAGCCAGATAATTTGCATGTAAATAAATAGAAGTTGCTTTTGTTCTTCTTAATAAATACTTAATATTTATACTTATCCTTAATATAGTTGCAGTTAACTTAATATAGTTATACTTAATAAAGTTGCAGTTACTTGTTGACCTTCCTGTTGTAGCTCTGAAGGTAACTGACTCGGTGAACTTAAAAATATATAGTGTCTTACAGAATACACAAACTTCTCAGTATGTTGTCAGGTTCTCATGTTATGCATTCAGTTCATGTAAATTGGGGCAAAATATTGAACTTAGAGGAGGAAAATGCAGTTCTGTTGCAGTCTCACAGCTTAAGCAATTTCTAGAAATAAGTAGATCTGCATTCCTTGGAAGTTTTTTCACATAGACAACTCAGCAGTAGAAGCTTCAATTCTGCTAACCTTGAGCTGTGTATGACTAACTTGCAGTCATTTTTCTGTTCTTTGTGCTTGGCTTTTTCTTTAAGAGGTGGGACGGGGTCATAGGAATGCTTGTCTTAGGCACAATTTTAATATGCGTTTCCTTTGTTTTCTTAACTTTTAAGCATGCTATTAAGATCAAGCTTCTCCAGGTATACTCATTTAACGAGCAGAGAGGAGGCTGTAATGCAACCATCAGGACAGAGCCCTGCAGTAAGTGCTTGGGAGTGAAATCACCTATACAGCAAGACTGGATCTCGTGTTGACATTCAGAGCTGCTTTTTGAGTCTACATCTCTTATCCCCCCACTCTGATAGCTTCATCCAGTGTAATGAAATAAAGAAGTTGCAATAGCATCAGAGGAAGGGCTTGGTTCTGGCATCTTGCTGTGCTGATTCATTCCGCACTTGGGTTATCCTGTTGTGAAAGCCCCAGAGGAGTCAGCATGGTGGGTGGCGCTTGATGGTGCCCTGTCTTTAGAATGCTGCTCTGATCTGAGCCTTCAGCTTTTGCTTTATGAAGCCTATGGAATAAAAGTCACCCATCTACTTTGTTTGCTGTTTTGTCTCCAGTTGAAGCCTTCGAGGTAGTCCGAGAGTTACACCACAGCTGGGATGTGCCTGTTTCAGTGAAGGATTGCTTGTATAGTCTGCCAAAACCTATCTCAAATTGATAGGAGAGAATAAAGTAGCTTCCAGCTGCTGTCATCTTGATTTTTGTCTTTTAATTCTGTTAGCTTTGTTCAAATGTACTTCTTAAGTGTTTTTAGTTGGGGGGGGCGGGGAGAAAAAAACGCAGTTTAGACTCCTACTATAGGAATCTGGCGATTTTTGCCCTGAACGTACTGATGAAGGGCAAAATTTCTCTTATGCTCTGGAGTATTCTTCCAAGCTCATTTTTGAGAAGTAAGAGATCTAGACTAGTATTGGTCTTAGCTTTTGCAGCTTAGGTTGCATTCCAGGAACTCCTGAAACAGCAAGGCTAGGCCAGAAACAGAAAAGAATCCACCACTGGGCTGTTTCCTGACCCCAACAGGACGAGTCAGGAAAGAGAGAAGGATAGGAAGGAAAGACTGTAAGCTACTGATTGCTCCAGTGTGGGCAGAGCTATGATGTCAGATAAGATTTACCAGGGCGTGGAAATTGTTTTCCTTGAGAGTAACATTTTGTGTGTATTGAAACTGAATTCATTGGGAATATATTCCCAGTACTTCTTATCAGAGCTCAAGGCAGGCTGACGCAGTCAATTTGCATGTAAGGGTCCTATTGCAGGAGCTATGTTCTGCTACAGCCTGGATAGGAAAAAAAAGGCAGTGCTGTGTACTGAGTTCATAGGGCAATCCTCACAGCATAATCTAAGGAGTCCCACTGCTTTGGGGCAGGCACTGCTTATGCTAAGCTGTCATTTGTGCTTGGAACTGGTGCTTTTCAATATCTTTATCAGTGAAATAGCATAAGAGATTGAGTGCACCTCTGTGAGTTTGAGGACGACACCAACCGAGGATGCAGTTGACACCGTAGAAGGAAGGGGTAGCATCCAAAGGGACCTGGACAGGCTTGGAAACCAGGCCCTAAACCTGATAATCTTTGTTTCTCAAGCAAAATTGTGATAATTGACTGCTCTTTGCTTAATTTGCTTTCTGTACTTCGGCCACTTCTAGTGAAAATGCTGAATTGCTTAAGACTAAGTTGAGGTAAGTTCTAGATTTATCTATTTAGACTCTGCTAAGGCTAAGTTTGAGTGGGTTTTTTTTTTTTTTTTTTTTTTTTTGCCAGTAAACTCAACTTTTCTTGCAACTATTTTGCCTAAATGGTCACAAATAATTTTGCAAAAATAGTGGTTTGTGGGACTGAACATTCTGTATCAAGAAATAAGAGCAGTGTTCGTGTTGACAGATGAGAATGAGGCAAGCTAATTAGAATGTTCTTTAAAAGATACATAAGAATCTATTCCAATTTAATTAGGATGGTAATTATAATGGAAGACAGCCAGTCTGCAAAGGACACCTGTTAAACAACATATGGAAATTTAACCTGCTTAGTGCTTCTTTGCTTATTTGTAACTCCTCCTGTACTGGATTAGTATCTTCCTGCATTGGGAGTGGATTTGTTTAGTTCACCTTTCTTCTTCACTGCCAATATATGACATGATGCATGCATGGATACAGCTCCTTCATCATGTCAGTAATTTAGATAGGATGACGTGAAGAACACTTGTAGCTGTTCTGGCTTTATCTGAGTGCAATTTCAGAGCCTGGGGACCATGAACCCAGCAATACATCAAATCTACATGGATTTCCTTGGGTGAATGTAACAAAGTCTCATTTTTGCTTCTTGCCTGTGCTACAGGGAATTGCCTATAATGCCTGTTTAGTTACTGGAAGGTGCTGCATTTCCTGGCAGAAAGGATCCCTGTTTGAGGGTTGTTTTGGAGTGCTGGAATTTACTTTTTAATGTGCACGTAGGCTTTGGGTGGGAGTGAAACAACCTCTTCCATATGGCTAAGGTAGACTTGTTCACAGCTGTAACAAGCTAGAATGTCATTTTAAGTATTTGGGTGTGTGTAGTGTTTTGTGCATGTGTGGAGGCAGGGGAGTAGTAACCTTGTCTAGAGAGGTAATTTTAGCTTGAATATTCCAAGTAGATGTTGGAGGCAAACAGCCTGAGGATAGTAAATAAAGGACACAGGGTCTCATACTTCATGTGAGTGCAGCTGAGAAGTATTTACTATGCCAGCATTAGAATTAGTGTGGAGTTTGTCTGTTGTGCGCTATATTTGCTACTTGTTGAAGGTAAGAAGATGGACTAGCTAAATTCAAAGGACTTGAAAAAAGGTGAAGTGTTAGAAGAGAAGTTGTGTCTAATTAGGGAAGAAACTCATCTGACTCTTGCCACTGAGGTTATGAGAAGTTAAGCATGGCTACAGTCTGGGGTTGGCAATAGGTAATAACTAGAAAGTGAACTAGTGAAATAAATCTTTTGGAATCTAGTATGTGCTTCTCAAATAAATACGAGTAGTGAAATTCTAAATACCACTGAAAGAAGTTCTCACAGTGCAGAAATTGAATAGAATAGAAGTGGTGCAGATTCTCTTTCATTGAATTTGACTCATAAGGAAGAATGTTCCATGAATGTTATCTTGGACAGCAGACAATGTTTACTCAAGGATAGTGCTACTGGCTAAGTGTTTGAGAATGCATTTTCTCACTGATAAGTATATCTAATTTTTTTTTTTTTTTTTTTTTTTTTTTTTTTTTTAGCTAGCTGGCATGGCATTCCTTGCGGCTGGACTGTGGGCATGGAGTGAAAAGGTAAGGGTAAAATGACTGGTATTACATCGTTTGGTGGCTGCCCTCTCTTGCCCCAGTGAAACAATTGATTTCCTCAGGAAGCAGTGGGGTTTAAATGTAGTACCAGGACCAGGACTCAGGACCACATTCAGATCTTCTAAATAGAAAGTAGTTGGAGTTTTATTCTTGCCCATTACTGGGTATTAGGCTGTGGCCCTATAAGTTTATACTTCCTTATGGACTTGTAAGAGCAGGGTTTAAGAGAATTAAAAAGAAAATTTCATCTTTATGAGCAGTCCCTATGGGTTGTTTCTTTTTTGAAAGCATTTTTTCTAAAAATATACTTGATTCTAATAAAAGGATGGGGGAAGATTATTAGTGTTTGGAAGGGATGAAAAAGATTTCTATAAAAAGAAAAAAATTAGCATGCATCTGTGAGATCATCTTTATGTAGTGTTCTCATTTTAAGGCCATCTGTTATCCACTTCCTGTGGAGTTACAGACCTGATTCTGTGAACCATAGAGAGGAAGAAAATTGGGGCAGCACGGCCCAACTCAGTTATACTTTCTTTCAGCTGTGTAACTTCCTCAACAGAGGGAAGGCTTTGGGCATGTATGTAATTCACATCTTACAAGAGACCATATAGGTGTGAAAATGAATGGTTTACCCCACTGTGAATGGTTGTAGAAGCGTGGCTCACATTTGACTGCAAGCAGTAAGGAAAAAGTGACAGTGGCTTGCAAACTTATCTGCATTTTAATTGACAGTGCAGGGCACGTGCCTTCACTCTGGAGCCATGCTACTGAGTAGGTACGTTTTCATTGCCAGCACAGTGTAACGTTTCCATGGAGCCTTTGTATCAATAAAGACTGACTGACCATATAGTGAGGTTCTGGTTTTTATCTCCTGCTATAAAATGATGTTCTTTCTAATCCTTTATGGAAGGTGTGTTTCAGAAGGTGTCAAACTTAGCTTGAATTTGTTTTCTGTAATGTTCATATGCTTTTCTCTGCTTCAGACTGTTGTGTAAAGAGGCACATATGATCTCTGTGGTTGGAAATGACTAGCTCCGTTTGCCAAATGACCTTTACGGTACACTAACATTACTGAAAATGAAAGCCTTGCTAAAACTGTTGACTTTTCCTGTCTTTATTTCTTGAATTTTGCCTGAACTGTTTCTACTGTCTGTTCTACAACTAAGAACTTAAAAGGTTTTCCTGTGTTCTTAAACTTCTGAATGGCTCTTAAAAAATGCACGTTCTTTTTTTTTTATGTCAGTTGCTTTGTGTGGACACTTTCATATTAATGCTGTTCTTTTGCAGTAGTGGATGTGTGTGTCAGTGTGGATCTGTTTACGGATAAGTTTCAGTGAACAATAGAAGGGAAGTAAAAGAAAAACATTCTAAAAGTTGCAGTGGTCAACCCAAAGGGAAACTAAAGGTAGTACAGAAGAGTTTTAAACATCCTGTCTCTTAGTGCAGCATGAAGTACATCGATCTTTTTAACTTCTTTGTTGTGTTTTTTTTTTTTTGTCATCAACTTTTCCATTACGAGTTTGATTCCTGAGTGTTCTTTTTATCTGGAGGTAAATGCTGTGTATCTCTGTGAGCTGATAACATCTCAATTTTGAGTCAAGTGTTGAAAGTAACTTATGTTAAAAAAAAAAAAAAAAAAAAAAAGTTACCCACCCTGGCATACATTATCATGCTTATGAGTCAAATGCAGCATTTTTTTTTTTTTTTTTTTATCTAACTGGGCTACACTTATGATCTCTTAAGTGGTTCTTGTTATTTCAAGCATTCATGTAGAAGTTATTGCATAACATGTTAAGTTTACATTAATAAAGGCTGGATTGAAGTTAACATGTAGCCTGAGAGGTATTACAGAAGTCATAAAAAAAAAAAATGACTATAGGATTTAGGTATTAGAAACAAGATAAGCCTGAGTCGTCATGTCAAAAAAACTGGCATCAGTACAGGCTGAGTACTGATGCCAGTTCTAGGCCTTTCTAGGCTCACTGCCTAAAAAGCAGGTTTGGGAGTTAAAACATTGGCCTCCTGTCAGTCATTCAGCTGAATATCAGCAGTGTACCTTCAGGTCTAAGGCAGCCATCTGCCTGCTGGGCTGTGTTAGCACTTGTGTGGCCAGCTGCTGGTGAAGGAGATTATTGCAACAGTATTCTTCATTCTGGAGGCTGTATCTGGGGCAGGAATGAAGGGAAGGTAGAGCTACCTGCTTGTTGAAAGAAATTTCCATATTTTTTCAAACAAATAACAATTCCGCAAATCCAATTTGGTGGCATTTCTTAACTCATCAGTGATATATTAAATTGCTGATTTTTGGTGGGGAGAGAGGGGTAAGTCTTAATAGCATCCTTCAATAGTCACTGGCAGAAGCATCCTTAGATGAATAAGGTGGGATGAAATAGTCCTTTGAATTGAATTGCTTATGACTGACCTCCTTCCTTCAGGATTTTTTACTTGGCATTTTTCTTTAGACTGAGAATCTCCACATGAACAAGAGAACGTTGTAAATTTCAAATGTGAACTTGAAGAGACTGTTTTGAACCTAGGGTGAATAATAGACCCTAGTTCCTGTCTTATTGTCACAGTGTGCTTTGATCGGTGGAAGTTCTCTTCCAAGAGATGTCTGAGGAAAGCTTGAGTTCGGATGTGGGAAGTGGATAGCCAGAAACAGCTTTGAAACTTTCAGCATCCTGTTTGTATTGTGATTAGTTCCATAGCTTATTGCTTGCACAAAGATACTGACTTAGTCTTGATGTGACTTCCCTGTTCGTAATGTCTGAGGCAAGTGCTTCTGAGGCATGGATGTGATTGATTAGGTAGGACTCAAGTTCACCAGTAGGCCAGATATGATAGTTAGCTTTGAGGCTTCACGGATTGTAAGGATGATAATATCACTGATTGGACTACTAGGAGTCTTTGCTTCTCAGGACTTTTTGAATGATGGGTAATCTCTAAACTGTGACCACTTCTTAATGGTTTATTTCAGCTCTTAGTGACAAGCAGTGGCAAGGCAATTCTGATTTCTACTATCCATTTACGTTTTTTGTCCCTTCAGTCAGTTTTGATCTTAAAAGAAACAAAACAAGAACACCACATCTCTGCTGTCTTGCTATCACCAAATTAATGGGTCTGACAAGATGTGTTGTGAAAGAAGATCAACTCGTATGTATCATGAGTACATATCATGAATATCTTGAGAATACTATTACTCAGTGTCTTTCCATTAGCTGATGAAGTTTTTCAAAGTTAACTTTACCTTTTAATGCTTTATTTCCAAAACACTATTTTTGTTAATTAAGTATGCAATTAAAAAGTGAGAGAATACCTTGGGCAAATTCCCTTTTCCTGATAGATATATTTCAAGTTAATATACATTATTAGTTCTGTTGGCTCCAAATGATGTGGATACTCAGTCGTAGTGTTGAGCTTTTGGCACCATCTGGTGGAAGCTTGTTTGGCAAATAGACATAGGTAGTCTGAAACGTATGACTGCACTAGATTGCTCAGTAAGAGTCTATAGCTTTGAGTTGGCATTAATACTTGCTGGGATAAAGAAAAGTAATTTCATTAACAACCCTTTTGTGATCAAACCTTTCCAAGCGGGTCTCAGTTTGCAAGCTGAAGGATTTGTAACCAATTAATTTGGGATCTTGTAAGAATCATCACAATTCCAAACAGGAAATAAAAAATGGCTGTAGTGGTCATATTTCTGTTACTCCGTTTTTCAGGGTGTGTTATCTGACCTAACAAAGGTGACTGGTCTTCATGGTCTTGATCCAGTGGTGCTTGTCTTAGTCGTGGGAATCGTGATGTTTACTTTGGGATTTGCTGGCTGTGTGGGAGCTCTGAGAGAAAACATCTGCCTTCTGAAGTTTGTGAGTAACATCATTACATGTGTGAATCAATGTGTATGTGGAAGTATGAAACTATGGGTGAAAGAAAAAAAAGTAATTTGTGGCGTGCAGTTTATTACAGTGCATATGGTGAACTCAGTCCCTGACAAACTTCTTTAAGGGACAGAATAATAGATTTAAACCAAAGTATTTTAGCCCTGCGCCTAGAAAAAAAATGATTTTTTTCATTCATTCTGCTAGTGCAGCAATGTTTTTATGTATTTCAGATTGTAATGTAATTTAATACGTGATAGCATGAAGTGGTGTTCTGAAATATAGCTGGAAGTTACTGAAAGGAGATCATATTGTGGCTTTGGGCAAACAAAATTGCTTAGGAGCTTACTCTCTTCTAAGTTTTTAGTGGGCAAAAATTGGGCACTTAAATGACTAACTAAAAGATCTGAAACATTTACTTTTGTATTGAGATGTCCTTTATTTAAATTCATGAACAGTTAAGCAGGGCAAAAGAAATAATTAAAATGAGAACAGCTCACAAAATCCTGTGTTTTGCAGATTCTTGTATATTAATATTCCAGCTGCTGTGTGTAATGACTGTAGATTACTGCTTATTTTCACTTTTGACTTCACATAATCAAAATGAAAAGATAACTCAACTTCTAGGTTTGGTTTTGTTGGTTTTTTTTTTGTTTTTTTTTTTTCCATTCTCAATTAGCAGTCACTTCTTTTTATAGTATCTATACTGAGCAAGAGTTTTAACATGTCTTAATCTTTTCCTAATAGAATAGGGAATGCATTCAAAGGGATAAATATCTTCTAATTTGTGACTTTTTCTTCTACAGTTCTGTGGAACGATTGTATTTATATTTCTGTTGGAGCTGGCAGTGGCTGTTCTGGCTGTCTTGTTCCAGGACTGGGTGAGGGACAAAGTCAAGGAGTTCTTTGAGAATAACATTAAGTCCTATCGAGATGATATTGACCTCCAGAACCTCATTGATTCGCTACAGAAAATTGTAAGTACATTACCTGTCATTTTTCCTTTGTTTTCTGGGAGAATATGTAGTTAAGGAAGTTTTCCTCTTTCAGATTGATCATGGTGTTTAGCTAGTAGTGTCATGTGACAGTTGTGCTGTTCTGTTTCTTTACTGAGAGTGTTAGATATCATAGAATCATAGAATGGCCTGGGTTGAAAAGGACCACAATGATCATCTGGTTCCAAACCCCTGCTACGTGCAGGGTTGCCAACCAGCAGACCAGGCTGCTCAGAGCCACATCCAGGCTGGCCTTGAATGCCTCCAGGGATGGGGCATCCACAACCTCCTTGGGCAACCTGTTCCAGAGCCTCACCACCCCCTGTGTGGAAAAACTTTCTCCTGATATCTTACCTAAACCTGCCCTGTCTCAATTACATAGGCACATACTGTATTGCCAGTTTATTCCTCTTCTAATTTAAAGTTGTTTCCCCTTATCCTACTGCAACAGACTCTGCTAAGGAGTCCGAACTCTTCATTCTAGAGCCTCTTTTTAAATACTGAAAGGCTGCTATCAAGTCTTCCATGAACTTTCTCGTCTCCATTGGTTTTTGTGGGGCATTCTCTTTCAGATCCACATCTTTTCTGTGACTCCGTGTCTGGATGCAGTATTCCAGGAGAGATCTCACCAGTGCAGGGTAGAGGGGCAGGATCACCTCCCTCGACCTGTTGACCACACTTGTTTTGGTGCAGCCCAGGATTAAGTTGGCTTTCTGGGCTACAAGGGCACATTGCTGTCTTATGTCCAGCTTAACATTCACAGGTACCCCCAGGTCCTTTTCAGCAGGGCTGTGCTCCATCCTTAAACATCCTGTACTGATACTGGGAGTTACCTATGACCTAGGTGCAAGACCTTGCACTTGGTTTTGTTGAGTCTGGTGAGGTTCACCTAGGCTTGCTGTTCAACCTGTCTAGGTCTCTTTGAACTGCATCCCATCCCTCACATGTGTTGACTGCACCACACAGCTTAGTATCATCTGGAAACTTGGTGAGGATGCACTCATTCCCACTGTCAGTGTCATTGATGTTCAACATCACTGATCCAAGTACTGACCTCTGAGGATGCTACTTGCTCAGTGATCTCTATCTGAACATTGAGCCATTGATCACTGCTCTCTGGGTACAATCTTACAACAAGTTCTTCATCCATCTAACAGTCGACCCACCAAATCTGTATCTTTCCAAATTGGAGGGAAGGATATTATGGGGGACTGTGTCAAAGGCCTTATGAAGTCCAGATAGATGACATCAGTGGTTCTTCTATTGTCCTATGGTACAATTATGTCGCCATAAAAAAAAATGATACTTTATCAGGTAGGACATGCCCTTGATGAAGCCACGCTTCTGAGAAGCATCTCATCTGAAAGCAAAAAAGATTTTAAACTGTGGACAGCTATTCTGTAGGTACTCAAGGAAGCCTGAAATAGTTGTATGCTCTTTTTGTCCTAAAATACTTAGTTGCTAAGAGAGGAGATTGCAAGGCCTGTTGCTAATAAGGGCTTGGTGGCTTTCAGTTAGATTATTTTGCATTCACACTCAAAAAAAAGTGAGGGTGATTTTTCTGATTTTTTTAAATTTATGTCTGCATGTATGGAGAGAAATTGAGGAAGTACTTCACAAAGAGGTAAAATATTTCTTCTTCTTTTTTTTTTTTTGTAAAAGAAGGTCACTTTTCTGTCTGTCTCCTATATTTTAGAAGATCATGCTTAAAAATCTTAATAATGCTTAATAAACCATTTTAAGTACACAAATTGTAACACAGGTCAGTGAACTGCAAAGCATAACTTAATGGGAAACCAACTTTCATCTGTTCTAGAACTTGAAAATTCTTTGAAATGTTTGGATTTCCCTGATCTGTAATTATGAAATTTACGTTGCACTGTTTAGGTCAAGAAACTTAATGTGAAACAATCATAGAGCTGACTGACCTTCAAATGAATAAGGCTATGTCAGTTAATTCACATGGGTATGAAAATTTTCTCATTTGAAAGAAAATAAGTGTATTCACAGATGTTTTGATACATTTTTCAGAGTAAACAAACAGGGAAAAACTGATTGTTTCGTGAAGACTTAAAAGTGAAATCACAAAGTTAAAGAAATAGTTCTTTTCCATATTTCTTTTGGATTTGGCTAACATGGATAACATCGGGTGGTTACATTTTGAGCGACAGTTTTTATGATGCTTCCAGTTGTGTGAGCATCTATTTCCAAGAACATTATGCCAAATGGTGCTTTTTTTTTCTTTGTTTTGTAGAGATGCTGTATTGATTATTCAGTTTGTTTTATTCTTGTGTTGCCATCGATTCCTTACAGCCATAAGGAATATACAACATATAGGAAAGTTGAGCAAATATTATTCCAGAGAGCTATTCAGTAATACATTATCTATAAAATATCCCCACATAGCAGGTGTTTATCTCTTGCAGAACCATTGCTGTGGTGCCCAAGGCCCGGATGACTGGGATTTCAACATATACTTCAACTGCAGCAGTGAAAGCAAAAGTCGTGAGAAATGTGGTGTTCCATTCTCCTGTTGTATACCTGATCCTGCTGTAAGTTGTTTCCTGGTTTGGTATCTGTTATTGAAGAGTTACGACAGGAAGTACTTCCTGAATATGATGTGACACATAGGGTTTAAGAAGTCTTCTAAATATCAAAAACTATTATTAATGGCCAAATTCTGTTTTTGTTACTGCTTTGCTCTTTTTAGAGGATAGAATAGATGTGTCAGCCTCTTATACAGCTGAAAATGTATTGCTTGTCATTAGGAATTCAGAAGGTGTTTTTACGTGATTGAAGTCTGTGAACATTGGCTGTTGACACTGTTTTATTCCCGAGGCCTTGATTTCAAGCTCTGTCATCTACTGTTGAAGCAGCACATATGCCCCCTCTTAGAGCTGCTGTACAGCACCCCTCTGCCTGACAAGTAGGAGTAACTGTCCTTGCTCATGCCTTTGGTTATCAGCAACTGGTGAAGTGCTCATACACAGACTGAGTTGAAAGTGTCTGAGTCAGTTCTTGGCTTTTGGCAGTTCTTAGGTACTCAATGGTTAGATCTGCTTATGAAGCTGTAGGAATCTGATCCTTGCAACAGAAGCAGAAACAGACACAAATTAATGCTGTGTAGTAGTTGTTGCTTAGGTCAACTCAGCAATCCTCACCTAAGGGAGATAACCATGGTAGGTTGTTTGTAACCTACCTTGGAAGTAAGCCAGGTAAGGCTTTTGATCATGGAGTCAGCCAAAGAAAGATTTTGTCAGGAAAGTATTCCAAGTTCAGGTTGTCTGGTAACTCTTCTCTTATTTTGATTCTGAACTGTGCTATTTCACTGTGGTCTTTCCTGTTGCTGATGTTATTCTTGGAGATATTATTAAATGTAAACTTCTTTAATTTGCCATTCTCTTCTGAGCATTTTGATATAATTCACTACATACTGTGTAAGCAATTCTGTAATTATGCAGTAAATAGGTTTGATTAGTCTCATAGGGAAGGGAAACAAAAGTATCATAAAAGAAGCATCTTTGGAGCTTAATACTGTTGTTGGGCTTTGTAGAATTGGAATCTGGAAGGTGTTTGTGGTGTTTGAGACATAACTGGAACTCTTTTTTGTCTACGGTAGTTTTATCTCAGAGCTGGATTATGTGAGACTGATTTATCAACTGTAAAGACACTCTAGTAGCTTGCAGCTATCTATCTGTTACTGGTATTCACGAACAAGGATAACCACATGAAATGATGGAGTAGTGAGGAATATTTTTTTTTACTACAAAAATCAGTGTGGTACCTTTGTTATCTCAGCGTTTAGGCATTATGTGAAAGAGATAAAATGATATCGATCTTGGAAGTACAGATGTTTTATCTGAAGGCTGTCAGTACAGCTGTTAAATGTCATGTTCAGTAGTCCTTGCTGGATGAAAGCCAATGAGAGAAGCTGGAAACTGTAGTGGAGGATGCTTACTTTCCAATTTACCTTCTGTCCATTTGGACATTATACTTTTCTGGTGTTCTGATGCTTTGCTATGTTATTTTTACTGAAATGTTCTCTAGAAGAGCTGTTTTGTGCAGTACTGATTTGTTTGTGAATTTAAGACAGAACTTAGTGTGAAAAGAAGCAAGCAGAATTCAACTGATATTTTTAATCCTTGTTTTTCAGCAAAAAGTTGTGAATACACAGTGTGGCTATGATGTCAGAAAAAAGGTATGGTGCTGGAACCTTTGTCTATCCTGCTTTCTGTGTAGATAATAATAATAATAAAAAAGGACAATACTTAAGTCAGCACAGACAGTGCTGCATCCTGCTATTAGTAAAGAATGGCAGAGTTTTTCTTCTATTCAGAGCTGAGAAAGTGGAAAAAGATAACAGGACAGTTAAAGGAAAAGTCCCATTTGAAAAGGGGGCTTGACTTCCATTTTGAGTGTCTGTATTAGTTCTAGTATACAATTTCTGAATTCCACTTTCTACTAATTCTGAAGTATTCCAATAATAGGAATTGTAGGAAGATACTAATGTCCTGACATCCTTTGAGTTAATTTGGGCATGTCTGTGTATTTCTGAAATTCAGTTTCAAATATTACTGCATATATAACAGATTTTACTATATCCCTTCATACGTGGCTTGACTGTTACAATGAACTTGAGCAGAAAAGTGATGTTCTTGAATTCTTCTCATTCAGAGCAAGAATCAGTGGGATGATCAGATATTCATCAAAGGTTGTATCGTTGCTCTGGAAGCTTGGTTGCCTCGAAATATCTACGTTGTTGCAGGTGTCTTCATAGCTATCTCACTGTTACAGGTTAGTTGCTTTTGTTATTGTTTCTTTTTCTTGGGTATGAGGGCAGGGTAACAAAGCATTTGTAGAGACTTAGGTTGAAGTTGAGATTGGTTGATTTCCTTATGCTAAAACTATATTTTTCCAAGAAATGAAGGTCATAATAAAAATATAATTGTAGAGTATATTATGATACATCATAATTATATATTTTATTGTGTGTGAACATAACAACGTACTATTCTATTTTTATATAAATATGATGTAATTTTAATATTTCAGTATATCAGGTGGGAGAGGAGATCTGGCAGTCTGCTTGGTGTAGATCAGAACTACAGCCTTATAGCACAAACACGGGGAAAAAAAAAAAAAACTGAAATCCCATTTTATTTTTCGTGCTAAGACTCCCATTCAGCATACTTCAGCATACTGAGCAAATATACAGCATACTGATCAAGAATAGACGAGCAGGGTAGCTGGTGAAGAAGTTGCAAATATGGTATTAGCGGAACTATGGTAGAGTTCCTCTGACTTGTTACAGTACCTTTTCTGTGCTTGATGCAACAAAGAGAATGAATCAAGATTCTCAGTAGAACATATCAAATTCCTTCTTTCAAGATGGTTTTCACTTTCATTGTGGCAGTTGTTTATACTTACCTCGACTGCTTTCTTGTACTACTTGTCTGGGAAATAACCAAGTTGTAAATCTACTAGAAAACATTTTCCATTTAACTGAAAATTTAAGTGTAATTCTAGCACCAACTCTTCACCGATTCTTTCACCAACTAGAAAAATACAGGTATTTCATCAGTATCTATTGGTTAATGCTTCCCGTGCCTTTATAGAGCACCCCTGACCTGAGAATACTCCTTTTAGTTAAGAGGATGTTCAAGATACCAAGTGTAATCTTTTGTCAGGGTGTTGACTTCAGTTTGATGATGTTCTTATTCATATTGTGAGTCTGTGACACTGCCTTCATGTCACAGTTTTCAAATTGAATGTGTCTTGGCATTAAGTTATTTCATAGTGGAACTAAAAATCAGACATAGTGTCTACTTCTAGAACAAATCTTCTGGCTTTTCCAGAACTTCACCACATTATGTTGTTATTTTTTTAAGAGTATTCTAGGAAATGTGCTGAGTTATGAATCAATCTACAATTTTTAAAGAAAGTTTCCCAAAAAACTTGAATGAATGATATTTTCCAAGTTGATAAATGTCCCAGTGATCTGGGGCTTCTCTAGTTGTTATTAGACAAGAGTTTCACTTCAGTACAGGCTATTGCACGTTCCACTAAAAAAGAAAATAAATCACAAATCTGACCGAATTAACCAAAGTTATGGAATGATTTGACTGACTTCAAATTTATCTGTTGCTAAAACTGAATGTTATGAGACCCTTGGCTAAGTTTCTTCCACCTGTAGGATGTCTAGAGATGGAATATTATTTTGAGCACTTCTGAAGCATTGCATAAATCATCTTTTTCTTATCAGTTACATCTTCTACTAGATTCTGCTGCTTCTTTACTGTTTAGTAATAGCTATGCTCTAACAGATGATCCTAGCTACGAAGTGGTGTCTGAGCCTGCAAATGCTTCATCAATGCATTGTTATTCACAATAGAGTAGTTGCATTGACTGAAGTGCATTGAACACACAAGCTGGTTCTCATTCTGCAATAATGGATAATGGTAATAGGCTCTATGTCTCAGAATCTACTTGCAGACTGGTACATAGCATGTATTACATTTCACACTTTTTTTTTGTTCTTTTTTTTTCTTTTTAGATTTTTGGAATTTTCCTAGCCAGGACATTGATTTCTGATATTGAAGCTGTAAAAGCAGGCAATGCCTTCTGAGTATAAAATTGAACATATGTTGCAAAAAGTATATCTTACTATTCTTGGTCAGACATGAAAATGGAAAGAAATGCACAGACCATGAAATACTCCTGGTATTACCTGCTCATGGGTTTTGCTTCAGGCTGGTACAAAAAAGAATCTGCAGCTCATCCGTCTGCCTTTTTTCTTATGAGACAACTCAGTGCATCAGAATTGATCTCTGGTGAGGAAGAAATGGAAGTTTCCCAAGTTGTCAGAACTGATTTTAAACTTGTAGGAAGAAGAAATTGAACTGCTTTAAGCTCCTTCCTTGAAGAATTACCATGAAGATTGTTTTGATTTTACTCTGAACTGTCATTGCTTTCAGTGTTATAATCTCTTCAGAAGGCCTGCTGATCTCTTAAGAACATTGAAAAGGTTGTAGTCTCTACAGTAGACTCATGCAGTCAGTTGGGCAAGTTGACCACCAACTGTCATCATGGTGGTATTGGAAATGGAAGCAAATATCACAAATTTTCCAGTTCTTTTCTTCTTGGTTGTGCAGAAATAGGGGGTATTTCTGTTCGACTGGGAATGAAGCAGAAGCAGAAACTTACGTTCAGCCTTGGATAGCTTGAGTAACCCAAGCAGTTATGAAAATGCATGAGGGGAAAAGTCTGACTCTATAGTATTATATGTTAGCAATCTCCATTTCAGGCAAGGGAATGTGAATCCTTAGTGCTGTTTCCTGTCTGGAAAAAATGTAAATAGTCTTTATTTATAGAAAAAGGAAAAAACTCTTTAAAAATGTGTAGCTTTTTACTGTTTAGTGCTATTTTTTAAGAAATGCTGCCCTCAGAATTTTGGAAGTGCAGTTTGTTTCAGTAGTTAGCAAGCATGCTAATGCTAGCTTTGGACTTGTTTTCCTTTCCTCTGGTTTCTTTGCTATGCTGATCATTACAAGCCCTAATTGCTAGTATCAAAGTTGATGAAAACATTCAGATTCAGCGTTAATCACTACTGGCCTTTTTTTTTTTTATTATCAGAAAGTCTGCATTTAGTAGAACACTAGCTTTTGAATTTTTTATGAATCTTCTATAAAGTTACTAAATCATCAGTTCTGTTTGTCTTCTAATCTGTGGTTCAAATGCCAATCACAGTGTGCTGACAGGAACCATTTCTTCACAGTTTCTTCTTATGGTATCAAACCAAAGTACTTCTACTGAAATAATTTCTGTGGGTTTTTACTGTTTTTACTTTTACCAGAAGAAAACTGAACTCTTCTTCCCATCCTTTTTTTCCTGAAGTGCAGTAAGATGGCCAGTCTTGTCTGAAAGTCTTTGGATTAGGACTGCAGTGGCTGCAGAAGCACGGCCACGCCTGGCATACTATTTTAATCTGTCAAAGATGGATGTATATGGATGAAAACTTCTAGGAAGTAGTTGTTGGTTTTACAGTAGGCTGTATAACTAACAGTGTTTACTGCTTCCAGTGGCACCCATTTTTTTCAGGGAGAGCAGATTTTTTTTTTTTTTTTTTTTTTACAGTGCCTGAGAGTGTAAATTTTAAAGAAGTATATATTTTTCTAATGATATTTTACTACATGTAGTCTGTGTGAAGAACTTGATAGTTGTATTTCCAAAGCCTATGGCCTTCTTAGGAAGCCAAACTCCTAAATCTTTCAATTCCATTTTTGTATTACGCATGTATTAATGAATGTTTCACTGGCAGAAGCTGACTTGCAGTAAGAATCTTTGTGTTGCTTGTCCAGATGTTCTTGTAGCTTTTTACCCTGTGAAACACTTCACAGGCCATGCTGTACTTCTCATGTATATTTCAATGCAGCTTTATAGTTCTTTTTCTGGCTAGTGATTGAGACAGAAGAGGACAAAGAAGCTTGTCTCAAGTTGGCTGATTTCCTTAGAACAGAGAACAGTCCAATATTATTCGTCTGGAAAACCTGTAAGTAAAATCTATAGAAGTGCACTGTGATACTTCTTTAGCTTCATTATGCAACAAGGGAAAAATAGCTGTAGATCAATGAAGGAAGGGCAAGATGCATTTCTTCTGCAGAGCCTTGAATTTGTGGTCTGTATTACCTTTTTGTTGAATGTAGTTCATTAGGAGCAGCCAAACATTTGCTGCAGTTATTCTGTGATTCTGTGATACTTTGCAAGCAACAAAGCGGTGTTTTGTAACTTTTTGTAACGTTTGCTTTTAACTCTGGTGCTCAAAACTATTACAACCAGCTTGCTCTATTCTGTGTGATAATCTGATGTATATAAGATTGGAGAATACTTCCTGTTGTAACTTTCTGTTTGTAAAACATCATATTGAAAATTGCATCATGGAGTACATTTCACTGTGCCATTTTTTGACACAAGGCACGTAGTGCTGGGAAGTTGTTTCAAGAGTTGATGAAAATCATCGTGGCTTCAACAAGGTCAATAATGGAGTTCACACACTGAAGTTAGCTGCCACCCAGGGCCTGTTCCATCCATCAGAGTTCCACTGTCTGCAGATCCTTGCCAAGATGCCTGAAGACAAATGAGTACTTGATTTCTTTTGGTTTTTCAATACTCTGGTTTGTATGCAAAGCAGAATTTAATCAGCGTTGTCTTTCTACAGTTTGTTCTTACTGGCCTTGGCCATGTTAACACCAGCTTTGTAGTATCAATACTCTTTGGAATCTTTTGGAACTGAGAATCTTTTGGAATCTTTTGGAACTTTTTCAACCTATCTGAGGCTCTTTACATTCATGAACATTTCTGTTTTCACCATGGATAAACTTCTCTGCATTTATTCAGTAAAATTTTTAAAATCCTGTGGCTGTAGGCTGTTTTACCTCTGAGCATTTAAACCACCACCCTTGATGGTGGTACATGTGGCTACTGTAATTTCAGACTCGGAATGGGAATACTTTACCATTTAGCACCTTTTGTATGGACCCACAGTGACTTCATGTCTAACCATTTAGCTTATGGTTTAAACAAGTCTTGTCAGAATAAGCAGTTGAGTGTGAGCCTGCTCTAAAGCCCCAAAGGAGAAGCAAATCAACAGTTTTGCAGGGATAGGTTTGATAAATTGATGTTGAGATTTTTATTGGTTGCATTTGGAACAACTCCACAAACACTACAACGAAAGCAAGGTTTTTAATGAAGATATCAAATATGAGTTCAGACTTGAATAACTGGACTGAGCGAAGGGAACTTTTCAGCGTGTGATCATTTTTATTTATCAGAAATGAGCACAATATATTTCTGTGACGCAATGTATTTATTTCTCAATTGGTTCTGACAACACAACTGCTCTTGTTTCTTATGCGTGTTTGAACACTTAGTTTGTTTACAAAAAGGAGGATGAATATGAGCACAGATGAGAGTGCAGTGACCAAAGAAACATCAGTCACCTCTTAAAAGTCTGAATATTACTTGCCAAGGGGGTCTTTATTTCTGTTGACTCTTGTACAGTGCCATGTGGATAGATTTATACCTCAAGTACACTGAGGTTCATGTGGCAATTGGTTTATATATAGCATTACCTTGCTTTTTTGTCTCTTCACTCTGTCCTTTCCTATTCCTTCCCATACTGCCTGTGGGTTTTCATGCAGTTTGAATGTTTATCCTGTGTAAGGGGAGGTCCTGTCTCTTCTGAGATGGCTTTTCTGAGTGACTTTTCGTGTGTGTGTATATGTATATATATATAAATTTTTCTCAAGCCTTACATTTGATTAAATAAAATAAATGTTTTGTACTGCTGGAATTTGTTTTCTAAAATTTATTGCTTGCAATCACTACTGCTATTATTATTATCCTCTGTGAGGTAAAGGTATGCTAATACTTAATTTTTTTATTTTTTTATTTTTTTTTACTCAATATAATTCTTGATATTTTTTTCCAGTCTTGACTGATGAATTATAGGTGACCTGTGTGCTTTTCTCTTCACTGTTAATGGAAAGCCATGCAAAAAAATGCAAGTTGAAAGTCAGTTCGCAGAGAAACAGTTATGCAATCTGCAGATATTTAAAAAAAAACAAATTATAAACTGATGTTTGTACTGTGATGACCACTAATCTAGGTGTCACTCAGTTAATTACTGAGAGTCAGGTTTGTTCTACCTGAGCAATGGTCCTGAAATCATTGAGTGCAGAAGGGAAGTAACCTAACAGGTGTGAACATGAGGTTTACTTGATAATTTGGTGTGTCTGTATTGACCGTTTTGACTTTAAAATGTTAGAACAAAAACTTGCTTTGAATTTTAGAAAGATCAGAAACATTTAGCCAATAGATAATGGATTTATTGTTCATTTATCTAGGATAAGTGCTGTAGAATGTTAAGGCTGGATCATTTCTGTTAAAAATGGCAACCTTAGTGGTGGCTGCTTGAGGTGTGTGTGTGTATATAGAAGATTAAAAAAAAAAAAAAACTTGTAATAATCCTGCTATATTCTGTCTTAATGCTATCAAGTGAATTGTCTGGAGTGGTTTTATGAAGTTCCCTTTCTTAGTGGAGAATATCTTAGTGGAGATACCTTTCTGAAATGCCAGTCATCTTCAAATCTTCACCCATGCCCACAACTGACTGGCTTTAATTTGTGTCTTGTCCAAGTACTGTCTGGACTGTGTATAATTCCAGACTATATTAGTTGTATCTCTGAACACAGGATGACGTTGTGTCCTCATGTGCTTAGCAGTACAGTTTGTTATATTAGTAGGTAAAAACTCAGATGACTTCTAAAGCAGAAATTAAAAGGAGGAAGAGGAGAGGAAGTTGGTTTGAAGGTACAGCTTTGTGGATGGTTGTGAGATTTCCAGTTAACAACAGGGTACATGGTTACATTCATAACGTGCAGGAGCTGAATTGGTACTGATCAGCCCATTGCTTTGTTTAATCAGTGGCTCACATCTAAACTAAATTTTAATTGCTTTGGGTTGCATGATCCAAGCTTTAGATTTTTATAATAATTTTCAAATCACCATGGTTTTGAAACACTTAAGGTAAAAATTGCGTTACTCTGATTTGAGAATATGATGCAACTTAAATTGCAAAGGTGGTAATTGCCTGTTGGTTCTCACATAAGCAAGAGTGTTTGTAAACATTGACAGAATTTATTCCTACTGCATGTGTTGGTAGCTCAGTGAAGAACAGCAGTAATAAAGATATCTGTAGGCCAAATCATTTTATGTACAGTTTGAAAAGCAGGGGTTGTACCTGGTCTTTAATAGCATCAGTGCAGCAGCATGACAAACATAAAGTGGCATTGGCAGAGCTGGCATCTTATCACATTTGCTTCAGTAATAGCATTGCTCTGTAGAGGAACTGCTCAGGACTGCTCTGTAGAAGAAGGGGGCTAGTAGGGTGACTCTCCTTTCAAAATCTGCAATGTTAAAAGAGCTTCCTTGACCACATCTGCACTGCTGTGACTGCAGAGCTGTTCGAGTGTTTCTTTAATCTTGTTGTCTTCTATTTCTTGTCTCAGATGGCCTGAATGGGAGAGTAAATGCTAACTTAGTGATGTGCCATGGCACAGCCATTCCCAACAACTGTTGCAATATATGCATTTGGAGTATTTGCTTTTTAAAATGAGCTGCTTTAGCATAGAATTGTTTACTTGGAAGGGACATTAAAAAATGATCAAGTCTAAAGGTTAAGGTATGCTATGAGTTAGGGCGCATTGTCAAAATGTCTGTTGGACACAGGCACGGGCCATCAGCCACCTTGCTAGGAAGTTGTTTGACCACCTTCAGAGGAAGCAGATTTTTCTTATTAAATATGTTCCTCTCAATGGGTATTTTGTAACCCTTTGAAAGTATTTATTCTTATTTTTAAGAGTTTCACTTCAGTTTCTCTCTTCCAAAGCCTGGTTAAACAGCAGAAAAGTATTTTGAAAATATAGTACAAGCTACACTTGAGTGTTTTTTGTTGTTTTGGTTTTTTTGCCTCTGCGCTTTGCTAGCCTATCTATATTGGTAAGACTCGATTCTTACTGTTACAGATAAGTCTGCAGAATGTTAATGAAATACATCTTTTCAGTTCAGATCTTTTGTGTGAATGATGCATAGTCACACTGAAAGATGTGGGTACTTAGCCCTGAGCCAATACACGTATGACTACAGGGAAATATGCGTGCATTGCAAAATCCAGATTGTCTGCCAAATATAGGGCAATGCCAGGACTTCAGAAGCAGCTCATCTTGTGGCAGATCTTTGGCAAAGCACAGCAATTGCTTTCAGTTTCCATAATTTATGCATAAAGACATAGTGAATTGTGGCATGAGATTTTTAGACTCCTGGTTTCAGAATGATTGTTTTAAGCTGACACCATGCTTCCAGGATCAGTCTCATCTTGCTTGGAAGCTTTTTCAGTCTTCCCTGACCAGAGATAGAGAGAAACTGAAATCATATCCTTCATTTGTTTTACTGAAACTTCCTATACATTTAACTGAGTGCTGATATAAAGGTGCTGTTTTATTTCAGCCTCTGGTTTGCCTGCAGTGTTGACAGAATAAAGGTATGTTGAACTGTGGAAGTGATGTGCAGACTCCATCATTCTTTGAAGACCAGAATGTTATGGTATAGGCAGGGCCTGAGACTGCTAGGTGCCAGATTGGTGCATGATGAATTTATTCTAAGGCTCTGGTTTTGCTTATTCAGGAATTGATTCTGCCACAAACAGTGGAATAAAGCTTTTTTTATTATTTTTTTAGCTTAACTAATAGCTTAATCAGTTTATCATGAAATAAAACCACGAGTGAGATTTTTAGAGATCAGTGAAGAATGAGCCTCTTTATCCTTTACTGTTCACTGATTGCAGTATCGCAAGGACGGTACGTTTCAGAAACAGCAAATACTTCAATCACAAACATCCATCTTTGCATCACAAGAGTACTTAAAATGAAGTTACCTGAATTAAGAAGACTGCACAGAAGACTCATTGAATTATATTTCACCTCGGCACTCGTATTATCATCTTGTAGAAGTTTGTGTAAGCTTTGTACTAGCTGCGATTCCTTGAAAGATTCTTCAAGGGTTTCTGAAAAATAAGCAATCAGACACCTGAGCTGAAAAGATGATAGAATGTGAAGATGCTTGCATTTTCATAAAAATAAGATTTCTAACTGGCTTTGTTTAAAAGCAGTTACATAAACAAACATGTCTTGAAGACATTCTCAGTAATGGGGAATTAGCGTCTGATCGGTAGAATTTTTTTCCTCTGGCATCATTCTGGAAGACGTTATACTACAGATGCTATAAGACAACATTAGATATTAAATTGAGTCTGAGATACTTAGCGATACACTAAGCATTAAGATGGGCTCTTCACTGTCTTGCTTTCCTTGTTGGTATGGAAAATTCTAAATTTAGTTGGCCTTCAGTTTCTTCTCATATATGTAGGTTTGTGGTGGTTGTTTTTGTTGTCACAAACTGAGCCCAATTTTTCAAATATGATCAATCATGCAGGATAAACCTGAGAAGTTACTGTACAATCTCTCTTAAAATTCAGCTCGCTAATAGTTACAGCATTTATAGTTTTGTAATTTTTCATTTTCAGATTATGCAGAGCCTTTTTGCCGGTGCTTTTCCTGTACTCCTACATTCAGATAACTGTCTTGTGAAAACTTTCATCCTTTTATAGATTTCAGTGATCATTCAAGTTCATAACCAGCCCCTGTGTAACTGTCTGCATTTACACCTTTCCTCACCGCTTTCTATATTTTTTGTAGGGTTTTTAACATGGCATGATACTGAACAGATTGTGCCTGTCCACATAACCTGATTATTTGACTATTTAACTCTACCTTAAGCAAAAAACAGACAAACAAAC